CTACAGAATATTAAGAATCCTATGTAATAGGATTCTGCTAATAGTGTTATAGTAATAATAGCCCCCTAAAAATTGTTTTATGAGGTCATTTTTCCTTTGGTGTTAAGTGCAGTGCTAGACACATCCCTTTCACATGTGAGTACTTAAAACAGCAGTAAAGTGGCATACAGATTCCTTAAGCTACCTCAGTGATCACGACTGAATTGAATCACTTCATGACTTTGGTCATTACTACAAAGCAGATTGGCCTTGCCATTTCTCAGCCTCTCATAAATTAATTCTCTAAGCAAGTGCATCATGAGCCAACCTCAAAGGAAGTTAAAAAGAAGTCCTAAAGCTCTGTTCAACTTTGCATGATTTGGTTTTCATCTGTTTTTTGTTTTTGGTGGTACTGCAGTTTTAACTTCGGGCCTCACACTTGCTAGTCAGGCACTCTACACATGCTCATCCTTGTACTTGAAGAGACAGAAACTTGAGAACGGATGTAGTTAACATTAGGCTTAAGTCTAATGTGCTTGAATTATCTTTATCTGTCATGGGCAGACATGTGAACCTCTGTCCCATTGTCACCAGCACAGAGATGCCAACCCAGAATCTGAGTCAGCTTTCAAATACATTTTCTAGTCTTTTTTCTTTAAAAAGATTTCATCTTCATAGAAAAGAAGAAATGTGAATTGGGGATGTGGGTCAGTGGTAGACCACTTGCTTATCATGCACAAAGTCCTGGATTTAGCCCCTCAAAAAAATGAAATTTCTGTTGTGAAGCAGCTAAGGACTGTTGTGAGTGTTCTCTATTTATATGAAGGATTTTACTATTTTATAGGTAGTATTGAACTTGTTACTGACTAAAGTGTTCACATTTTTCATATAAGTCCATAAATAGTATATGTTTTGAGTCCATTTCAGAAAGGAGCTCCTGGACACTTGTCCAGCCTTCTTGGCATGGAGTGAAGGAGACCAGAATAGTGAAGTGTGGCATTTTCAATCCAGAGGGAAGAAAACCCTTTTCGCATTCTTGTCCTGTGGCTTCCCTACCAAGTGAAAGAGAGAGCCTACTTAAGTTGTAGATAACTTTTCACGTGCTTGGTTTATGGCATTCTCTGGAGATATTTTTCCATTTAGAAGCAGCATCCAAAAGATGGTATAATAAAGCATGCTGCCCACAAAGGAAAATGAAACCATCTATCTTTCTAGATTTGGCGAGCAAGGAGAAATGGCTAGAGGGTATTAAACCAGAGAAGCAGCCATTACTGCTTTACATATTTTCAGTTAAATTCCTATTATGTTACGAACATAAAAATGAAGTCCTGTGTATTCCCCATTTTAGAAAATAAAATAGACGGAGTTTAATCTCCAGTATCATGATAGCTAGATAGAAGATAGATAGATAGATAGATAGACAGATAAAGTGAGAATAACTAGCACAGTGGTGAAATGAAGATTCTGTTAGGCTTCTAGGTTAATCTGGTGAAGCAGACACATGTGGATGGCTATCTTTTTCCATGTTGGAAACTTCACTAATTGGGAATTGCTTTATCAATAAATAAACCCACAAAGATAAAGAGAGAGAGAAAGAGAGAGAGAGAGAGACGGGAATAACCAGATTTTATTTTTTAACGTGGAATTTGGAAACATATCCAAGATAAATGAATCCAAGACTGATAGAGAGGAACTATACAGAAACAAGATAAACTAACCTGCTTACAAGGTTGGCTTTTGGCTGACATCTGGAAATTTGGATTTCATGAAGATTTCCACTATTTTCAGATTAATAAGAGTGGCGCACTCATTATGGCCTAACTTTTTGCACAATGTGCTGAGTTTGCCTTCCTTCGATGAGGTAGAACCTTTGGTGCATGACTGGCAGGAGCACGTATATGTCTGACTCCAGTAAAAACACTGAGTACTAAGTCTCCAGTGGTCTTACCTGGTAGACCGCATTTCACCTGTGTCCTCACAACTAGCTTCTGAGGAATAACCATGACCTGAGAGATTCATGGTGGTGCCTGGTTTTATGGGTCCTTCTTCCATGTGCATTGATTATGCTTTGTATCCTTGCACTCTAATTTATTAGAGAGTTATGCAGAATCCTGTGAGTGCTGCAATTTGGCTATAGAAGCCAGAAGTGGTCTTGGGGACCCCCAGCTCATAGCTGATAAAAATCATCCCAACTCACTTATTCACAAAGCTCAGGAAACCACAGTCCCACTTTCTTTGTTAAGCAAAATGAAGTTTATGTGGTTTCTGTTTAAGAAGTTGTTAGACATATAGACCTACCTCTACCTCACCAACAGTCGGAGACCTGTTCTGTTCTATAAACACTGGGAAGTTTAGTCTCTGGACAGGAAAACAGAGTTTTTGGATACCTAGGCACTAGACTCAGTTGGACAGGTTTTGCAACTGGAAAAGACTGATTAAGAAAATGACTGTCAATTGGATTTCAAGAGACAAGTCCTCTTCCTCCACTTGTCTCCCTGACTCCTGGAAGCTCAGCCTCTGCCATCCAGGCAATGCAGGACACTGAATAATTCTTATCAAGGGTTCCAAGGTGTCCAGAAGGAGACGTCTAAGATTTGGACAGCTTTCCTCATCTAAACAACCAAACCAGTTCACACCAATCCAAAAAACAAACAAACGAAAATCTCATCTTTATTTTCAGATCTCCCTATTAAGTTTGTACCCCTCAACTCTGCATATAAGCAGGAAACAAAAAGAGCCCACACATCAGAAAGAATACTCTAATGTGAAAGTCAGAGATTCATACAAGCAAAAAGAGACTGGTGCGATTACAGAATACCAAAGCTCTTCAGAAAGAATAAAATCTCAAAAAAATCAATATCATTGTGCTCCAATTGGAGAAAGTGTGAGAAGGAAAATAAGAATAGCAGATGGTAACAGGAAAAGTCAGGAACTGAAAGAGGTAACAAAGGGCTTTTTGAAAATTTACAGTATGATAGAAGAGATGAAAATTCCAATAACACTTTTGGAAGGTAATGATAAGGAAATTTAGGAAATAAAGCAAAAAGATGCAGAGATGAAAAATAGATAAAATGAGAAATTCAATGTTGCATGCAGGAGTTTATACCTAAACAACAGAAGTTCCACCAAGAAAGAAGAGGGAAAATGGAGAAGATATGACAAAGTTATCAAGAACATTTCTAAAACCAAACACATCTGTTTATGGATTAAAATGGTTTTCCAAAACGGCCCAAACCTGAGTACATAATCATGCCATTTCAGAATGCGAGGAAAAAGAGAACATCCTACATTCTGTGGATAGGTTTTTTTAAAGTCACAAATAAAGGGTGATTAACCAAACTAACTTTACATTCCTCAACAGCAACACTGGGAGATGGAGCACATGAAGCATTGAACTCAAGTCTGAATGGAAATTATTCCCAACCTAAAATTTCTGCCAAACTTAGGGGTAGTATAAATATGGTCTATGAGAATAACAAAGCACCAGGAATTTGCCCTGCAAGCACCCTTCTTTAGAATGGCACTGCAGCAAAAGAAGTTCAACCAAGAAAGATCAAGACTTGTAATGCAAGAAACAAAAGACTGAACAAAGGGAAAAAGAGAAAGAAGCCCAGCATGCAGGTGCAGGGCTACACAGAAAAACAATCTTTGCCACACTCAGGAAACAGCTAAGCCAGTTTGGAGGAGGTAAGCTAGTTCTCAGAGAGATTTCTTTAGTCTAAGCAATAGGTACAGTCCTTTCTATGTCTGAAAACTTGATGGAAGGCCAATTAATGGCAAGTTCCTAGACACTAAACAACCTGTTCCCAGAAAACAAGAGAATCATTGACTTGAACTGGAACAATCAGTTGACCACATTACTCTGGTGAAGATAGTGCTCACCTTGTGATAAGTAAAATCACTGAATTTTGATTTGACCAAAATTGCAATGTAACTATCCTAAGATAATGAGAGATGGGATGGCTGCAATAGTGTGGTAGGATACAGAGAGAAGCAGGGAGTAAAGGGTTAAATCCTCATTTCCCATGGTGCCCAGTTAATGAACAATGACTCCTACTTGAAAACTCAAGTGGTTAGCTCTATGGAGATAAGCATCAGAATTAAGGAAATGATGGAGCAGTGATCTTATTTTATATTAAAATTAGAAAGTGCTTTAACTCCTAGTTCATGGATATATAATGCTGATGAAAACATGTCAAAATTTGGGCCAAAGTGAATGATTTTTCTCTATAGCGAAACATCCTTTATTATCAAATGAAGAAATTGCGATACACAACTGCATCAAAGACCATCCCCTCTATTCTGTAGCCACAGCGTTTAGAATTGTCAAACACATGACTAAATCCTAAGTTCCAACACCAGTCAAACACACAGAGTGTTTCACTTGCCAGACCTTCAAATCCACACACTGCTTAGCTCCCCAGGTCCCTCCCACTTGTGGTTATTAGGAAGTCAGGGGATGGAGGAGAAACTAAGAAATGCCCTTGATGTCTTAAGAGGGGAAATAATGGGAAAACTTCTCCCAGACTAAAAGGCATCATGTATTGTGTTCTGTGGGGGCTTGGCCACAGAACCAATATACCAGTGCTTTGAAGTTGTGCTTGCCAGTCTTACTTGTTAATCTCAAACTAAGTATTATAGTACCTAAGAATCATATTCTGGTTCCATCACTTTTAAAGAAAATACATAAACTTATCATCTGAATAATTGCCTTTTGGGTAACTTATTAATTGAAACGGTGATGTTTTATGGTGTCATGGTTTTTTTTTTCCATGTAATTTTGTTTATCGTGTCATTATCGTTTTTGCTCAGGAGAAACTGCTTCTGGAGATGACTTGGGTACTGAGTCTTCTGTAAAATGCTTAGTTTAATATAAATGTGATTTAATTTTGTAGTGTAGCCTTGAGTATTTCAGGATATGAAGGTTTAGAAAACCTTATCTTTCCCTAAAGGAAGGACGCGCTCCTGCGATGGCTCTGTTTACACCATAAGGTGAGACATCTGTGTGTTTTCTCTCCCAGGAGTATCAGTCTTGTAACACCAATGCGTGTCCTGAGCTGAAGAAGACCACACCCTGGACTCCCTGGACTCCTGTCAACATCTCGGACAACGGGGGCCACTATGAGCAGCGATTCCGATACACGTGCAAAGCCCGCCTGCCCGATCCAAATTTGCTGGAAGTGGGGAGGCAGAGGATCGAAATGCGCTACTGCTCTAGTGATGGGACCAGCGGCTGCTCCACGGATGGTGAGAGAGGTGCCATGGGGACCTACACATCCATGAGAGGGCCTCGCCCCCATCACTAAGGTCAAAGAAGAGCAAGGGGATTCTTTCTTTGTGATCATCTATGGCTTAGCAATCTTTATCACAGTGATCCCTGCAGAGAAAAACTGACTTTGTAGCAAATTGAAGGGAAAGCCCCTTACTATAAGAATTAGGTGTACACAGTAGCTCCCTTATCCATGGGGATACTTTCTAAGAACTCCGGGGAATCCATGAAATTGTGGATAGTACCCAGTGCTACATATGATTGCGGTTTTTTAGACACACAAGACTATGATAAAGTTTAACTTATAAAATAGGCACAATAAGAAAGTAACAATAAGGAATAAAATAGTATAATTATAAAAATATGCTATCCTAAATATTATGTGAATATGATTCCTTCCTTGAAAGAAGACAAATACCAGTATTTTTAGATTGTAATGAACCACAGGTGACTAAAACTGTGGAGAATGAATCCATGATAAGCAAGGAATTCTGTATCAAGGTAGTTTTACGAATTCAGCACCCCAAATAACAATGAGCTTATGATAGATGCAGAATAGTTGCGTGAGGTTTGTTTAGTATGAGAGAATATACAGAGGAAGGATCAGGAACCTTCACAGATCTTCTGGCACTAACATGCAAGCTACAAATAAGATTTTACTTTTTTTTAATCCCCAAAGTGGGAAAAGACAGTGGAAGTGCATTTCTTTATTTGTACCTACAAGAGGATCTTTCTGCTAAAATGTACAATGTGTGAGAACACAGTCATATTCCTGAAGGTGCTTTGCATGGATGATTGTGTGGATCCCTTGAATGCCATATTAATAGTGTGGAAAAAGGCCTAAGAAGAGATCCAGACCTGTCCTCCATCTGGCCCTGCCATTTCCTTGTCGTCGCTTCTCTGGAGGTCACCTGTCCTCCCTGGGCTCAGTTGTCTCTGCTGCAGAGAAGGAAGTTGGCCCTTTTGGTCCTGAAGAGCTTCATTCTTTGCCGTTTATACTATTTCCTAATTGGACAAATTATCTTCTGCTTATGGATGGCAATAGATTCTCATAGATGAGTCGTCAGAGCATGGTTTGAAGAGAACAGTGATGGTTACTCATGCTCATACTAGAGCACTCAAACATTCCTCAGCATTCTGTGTTCAGGAATCTACTTCATTTTCCTAACATGAATGTGACAGAGAGTGGACTGACACCATTGTCATTTTTAGAGAAGGGCTTTTAAGACCCTCTGAAGAGTTGGACTGACATGGATGGGATAAATTCATGGAGGTACAGTCAATCTCTTCTGTGTTGTTGCCAGGAATGCTCTGAGTGAAGGCCTCTAGCTGTTCTTGTGTCCCCATGCCTTTGCTTGGGAGCCAGTGGGTAGCCTGAATGCTTGGAAGCTGACAGTTCTTGTCAAGCAGTTTTGCTTTAAAATTACACTTCCTCATCCTAGTCCTACCATTTTTAGACATTTTTCTTACCTCAAACTATGCACCCTAAGATTCAGTGATTACACACATTTATTATTTTTTTTAAAAGTCTGCTTTTATAAAGGGTTTCATGTAAATAAATGTACAACTTAAATAAAAGCAACACTACCCATCTAGAAAAATGAGCAACAAAGTCATAGTTACTCTTGTAAAATCCTATTGTCATTAGAAGAATGGATATCTGTTGAAATTCTATGATAAAGACAACTGAAGATCCAATGTAAAAATCAGCTTTCTATATGGGATGAGCTTATAACCAGCAATTAAATTTGTAAGATAAAACATGTCAAATATTAATTTTAATTTCCAGAATGTTTTCTAGTGTGTGTCTCTCCCATTATTTTTTTCAGGACAGGTATGTCCTATGTAACTGTTTAAATGGATTGGCCCTTTTGCTAGGGCTGTAATCCCAGCTCCTTGGAAGGTAAAGGAAGGAAGATCACTACCCAAAACCAGTCAGGCAAAAGATCAAAATCCTATCTGAAAAACAGACTAAAAGCAAAGGGACTGGAGACATGACTGAAGTGCTAGAGTACTTACCTAGCAAGAGTGAGGCCCTGCTTTCAATCCCCAGCACCACCAAATAAATAAACAAACAAACAAAGAAGATTAGGGCCCATGCAGTTGTTTAAAAGTATAGCTGGAACATACTTATCCTAAAATAATTATTTGTTGTTCATCTATAATTCATATTTAACTGATAGCTGATCTTCCTTTGCTCCATTTGCTAAATCTGGAAGCCATATGTCTGATTCACTTACCCCTATATTTTAAAACAGACTGTGAACTAGCTTATTTCTTGTGACATCAAAGTAGAAACCGAAGACAAACTTTATTCTCCTTCCTGGACTTACACTTTCTTGTTCTTCCATTCTCGGATACAAAGAAAACAAAAGTTAACATTCATTTTAAATGTTTACAAACTAAAGAGAAATTTACGTACATTTATTAAAAACGTCCAGAATGTTCTCCAAAAGCATACCAGGGTAGGGCTTAAAAGGAACTTCATTCTTCTTTGCCGTAATGGCTGCTTTATGCTCTAATAATCATCTTCACGTTTCACTATTGATGTCTTGAAAACACATAATCGGTCTTGTTTGCCTCTGAGTACACAAAATGAGGCTTAACTGTACATTTTTGTTCCTCATTGATTACCCACAAACTACTGATTCATCACAGAAAACACTGCTGATGCATTCTCCTGAAGAGGTAGAATTTGTAATCAGCCACAGAGTTGCTCAGCACAGTATGGAGCTGAAGGCATGTCTGGTTTCTCATGTGCACGAATCCCCAGAACTTCTACACAGTTTCAAAGGTGCTTGCTGAAACACTTTGCCTTCATTTGAGAAACTGAATACATTTTAATATTGTAAGTGGGAAAGCATTTTCATTAAAGCAAGCACAAATTAAATGACTTAAAAGACTCAGTGCAGACCTGACACACAGTAAGTCTTCAAAGGCTGTTTGCTGTGAGTCCTGTACCAGGCAGCTCTAGCCACCCACCCCAGCACCCCAACTGCTGCTGTTGCTGCTGCTCCCTTGGCTCCTGGGAAAACACATTTTGTTAGTAAGTGTGCTGGGAACATTACAGATGCATCTGACATGTGGCTAGGTCACTCATGGATGTGCTGGGTCCTGGGCATGAGTTCACTAGAGCAGACCATGTGTCCCCATGGACTATGATTCCAGATCTATTAACTCAGGGCCTTTCACAGCACCAGTTCACACTTGAACAGCTGACAGGTAAAGGATGATGTAAGGAACGTCTGATCATGCTTTCATTTTTCCAGATGGATGTCCTCATAGTAAACATGACTATCGAGTGTGAGGGCAGTTTCCCAAAGAGAAATTAGAAAGATGTATTGTCTTTAGACGTATCAAAAAGTAAATGAACTACAAATATGAGACAACTAACTATGGAAGGGTTCTGCCACATGCAAATGGACCATTTGTATGCACCCTTATATTAAACAGCAACTGTAGGAAAGATGTTCAGTTTAGGCGGTTGTAAATCACCTACAATGTATTTGAACTTACTTTTGAAGTGTGAAAAGGGTTTGATTGAATTTGAGAGGGATTTCTAGATATAAGGCATACAACCAAGAAAGAGAAAAGTTAGCATGGGCCATGGTGGCTCTGAGAACTCCTGTAGAATCAAATTTTGGTTCCCTTGGCAGGGCTTTCTGGTGACTTCCTGCGTGCGGGGAGATACTCGGCTCACACGGTCAACGGTGCCTGGTCAGCTTGGACATCCTGGTCACAGTGCAGCCGTGACTGCAGCAGGGGCATTCGGAACCGGAAACGTGTGTGCAACAACCCAGAACCGAAGTATGGGGGCATGCCTTGCCTGGGTCCATCCCTGGAATATCAGGAATGCAACATTTTACCCTGCCCAGGTAAGCAGATTACCTAGTGTGGAAAAGTTCTGAAAAGCCAAGCACCTAAGGCCTTTTAATGGCCCTCGTCTTGTGTTTGGGATATTTGTTTAAAGAAATGCTTTTGGTGATAATAGCAGCAGAGAGAGAGAGAGAGAGAGAGCGCCTTAAGGGACGCCAAATCCCAAACATTCCTGTCAGTGTTAAACCTCCCTCAGCCTCTCTGGCCAGCATGTAGCTTCAGTTCTCTACATGAAAATGACCTGACGATTGTAACTTCCATGGGCCCTTGCAAGGGCTCCTCCCTCCATGTTGCATTGGTATGAAGGCAGATATAATCTGGGCTGGATTGCATTCTTTTTTTCTTCTTATTTTAAAGAAATGAAAAGACATTTAAAACATTCTTGTGAACCACGTTGGGCCTGTGACCTATGGAGATATTGGTTCTGTGACAAGGTTTACAGGAATGTGTGGTGTTCTGAAGTAAATGCTGGCCACCTTCTGGACCTGGAGAACCTGTCCCAGCTTGAGCTGGCCTCCATCCACTACAAAACCCCATCCAGATTCACAGGTGACAGGAGACACTTCACTAGGGCCACAGGACAGTTCTCAGTCCCGTTGTTCCTTCTAAGAGGAGCCCACATCACTAATCAAAGCCTCTCAAGGAACATGCTTCTCTCCAGGAGGTGGACAGAGATGTGTGTCTGGGCCTTCTCCTGAAACTTGGCTTTTCATGTCACTCAATTTCTCAGGCAAGCACAGGAACAATGAAATTGGGTAGATGAGTCCAGATCTTTTGTTCTGACACTGTCCCGGAGGATCTGCTCTTATTTCCCCTCAGTATTCTTGACTTGTCTCTTCCTTCTTCTGCCTCCACTCTGGGTGGGACCTGTCACCTTCATCACTTCCACCTGACCTTCCCATTGTCACAGGCTCTTTAACCTGATGTCTCATAGCCACCCCAGGATAGGTTTGCCACTTTTGTTTTTTCTCTAAGTGAAAGCCCCAGATGTGTGGACTGCTGCAATGGTCTCATTCACTGTACTATCCTTGACTTGCAGCACAGACTGACATGCCTAGAAATATCTACCAGCAATTGTTTGTTGAATGATGAGGCAACAGAGAGCTGCTTATGTAACTTCATTCATTTGCTCATTCACTTTCTCAGAAAATGGTTTGTTTGTTTGTTTTTTATCCACTGTGTGCTTTTCACAGGATATGCAAAGACACAGTGCTATGGTCCAAGTCAGAAAGGAAAAGTTCAGTGAGGAGGCCTGTAAATGTCAAACCATATGGTCACCAGGTACTAAGTTGGAGACAAGATGCAGTGGTTACATCATCCAGGGAACACCAGTGACAGGTGCATCAACCAGGCTTCTCCTGAGCTGAGTCCTGAGGAGCAGACAGGCGATAGTCACATTGACAGGAAGGAATGAGAAGCAGTGTGTGTGCAGGTCATTCTAAACATTGGGTAGAACATTTTTAAAGGCATAAAACTTTAGCATCTTTTCCAGCAAGTACACTCATCTTTTTGAGTTCTGTGAGCAAGAATCTGGCTTGTTGTAAGTACTTAACAAGCATTCATCAGATGGGTTGATGGATGGATGGATGGATAATGGATGGGTAAACATGTATATAAAACTGAAAGCACAATTCCCAGTTTTGGAGCAAAGGTTTTCAGTGATGCTGGTAATCTTAAGCTGCACACTCCTTCTGAAGCATGTCTGCCTGAATTTCTCCAGCCTCAGGAGACCCCTCCTCTCACTACCCAGCTTTCCCAGCCAAGTTGCTGCTGAAAGGCTGGGAAAGGTCACAGAGCTGTTCTTTCCCACAGCCCCAGTGGAAGAATTACTCCCTTGGGTGCTGGAAGGGAGCCGTGGGTGATATCACAGATCTGAGTCAGTGCTGTGGACTGGAGCAAGGGAGGGGGTATGAGCCCGCAGAGTTCCCTCCATCGCCACCTCCCCAGACTCCGGACTCAGGGGGTGGAACTTGCAGATTCCACCAGGTATTTAGAGGCTGCCGCTGTTCCTGACTGCAAAGGATCCCTGTCCGTCTCACATACGCTCTGATCACATATCTGTGGGTTGTTTTATTTTAGGTGACTTTCTGGTCAAGTCTAGACTGTGTATATGTAACCAGTATCTGAAGTAGCTCTGTTCTCACTTTTCTTTAAAAGCCAAGATTCCATAGAGTGTTGTAGAATTATTCAGAATGGCCTGTTACTTTCCATTAGGGAATGGGCATATCCAGGGCTAAACAGTGCAAATGTCAACTCTCTCTCCCACATCCTAAGAAATGCCTAAAAGTACATCAGCTTGCAACTCAGCAAGGTGCAGTGGGAAGCCCCAGAGCTATGCATGCTAGGCTGCACAACCAGTGGAAGGCCAATTGTAAGGCTGTTTACCTCATTTAGATCATTCTTTCTCCATAAATTAACTACTGTTTAAGTTTATTTGGTTCCTTGTGAATAACTTTGCATGAATACTGTATTTTATTGTAAAGTTTCTCTTTTTAATTTAAAATGAAAATAAATCTAAGCAAACTAGGATAATGTAAAATAACTTTTCAGTTAATCAATGAAAAAGTCACCTCCAATCTAATGTGTGTATGTCATGAACTATAATAAGGTTTTAAAATCAAGCCCATGCTGAAGTGATCGTTTTTTCACCTCTGTGGGTTTATCTAGCTAGTACTTCTCATAATTTCTCTATATCATTGATAAATAGGTGATTACCCTTCACTTCTTTTCTTTATGCCATGATTAATTTACCACTAAAGAATGTCAAATCTTGACCAACAAATTTAAAGACAATGGATGACTCCTTGTTGCTGTGAGATATTCAAATAAGATAAAAGCAACTTCAAAGTTTTACTTAAGCCCTATATAACCCAGCACAGTGAGCCTCAATCCTTTTCATCAGATTAAGTACAATGGCTTTGTATTTGTCTTTATTTGGTAAACAAAAGAGGTGAGGGAAAAGGAACACTGAGAATCTGGTGAAATACAGACTCCGAGTCAAATCAAAGAACTCTGGTAGGTGTGTGTCCTCTGGGTAATGTCCACTAGACACTTTTGGTGTGCTGAGGAACTCTGTGCCTCTCCAACTGCAGAATCCTTTAGTCCTGTCTTCATGGGGGCCAGGTGAGCAGTGCAGAAAACTTCTGCTTAGAGATCCTTCGACAAGCAGACAGGCGAGCTGTCCTTGAGTGCAAAACTGTGTGTTCTATACCTCACCACGCTGAGGAATCAATCCCACATGTGCCCACATCCTGAGGGATGGTAAATATTCAGCTTTATAGCTCTGACCTCACACTGCATGCCTGATACTCAGAGGTTAATTATTTAGTTTTATTTTGCTCTCTTTAATCACTGGTAAGAGCGTATTCTTTGTTTTCCTTTAGCTGCAATGGTGGGGTATTTAGTTAGAATTCTTAGAACAAGAATTTTATCCTCTTGTTATTTAATCTATGACTATCACTTGATCAAAATTAATTCCCTATAACTAATTGCTTTGATTCCTTGAACAGTGAATCTGAGCTTGAGTATGTTTCTCTGATCTTCCGATGAACCTCTTTCGTACGCTAATGTAGATGGTGACTCAAGCCACGGGGAGAGTCGTACAGTATTTTTTGGCATAAAAATGGCAGAGTAATATGAACCCCAAAACGTGGTAATGGGCTCGGTTCTGCGTTCAGTCTGCCAGTGTCTGATTCTGACTCCACACTCACTTGCTCCATGGCTTGGGTCACTCATTTCTAGAACATTCCCCAAGGTAATTTCATTGCTATTATTAGCATTATTATTACTACCACTGCCACTACTTCAGGCCTCATTCTATCCTTGGGGTGCTCCTCCCTGTTCAACGGCTCGCATTTTTTTGTTTTCTCGGTTCCTCAGGTCCTTACTTCCCCACACTGAATTTTACATGCTCCCTCACACTGAAGACTGTTTAATTAAGCTTTGTAGTCTGTGATTTCTACCTTAGAGATCTGTTGGCCTTCCTGGTGTAAAGTGATAATACAATATTCGGTATTCTTCTCCAACCAGTACCAACCACCTCCACCCTAAATCTGCAGTCACTGCTCTAAGACTTAGGTTGAAGCCGAAAGCCTAAGTACACTACTGAGAAGAAAGACAGTGAATGCTGGTTTAGAATTGGTCTGAGGGCATAGGACACTTACAGACCAGCAAACAGGCTCAGAAAGTGAAGTGGTTGACATTCTTGTCAGGTTCCCTTTGAACTAGAAGCATCCATTTCCCTGTACTTACAATATATCCCTGAGAAGAATGAGATTAAGATTGTTAAAACTACAGTGTGTTCTAGTGGTTGAACTCCCAAGTGTAACTTCTGCTGCATGTGCTCCCTCAAACTGCTCAAACTTCAAACAAGGACTGTTTTCTCTGTGGAAACGATAAACCATCCTGAGCCAAGGGACTTTGTCATGAAAACAGGATAGTCAGTGGGTGAGGGAGTATTAGACTAGATCAGATGTGAATTGGTCTAAGGTTTAGTAGAAATCTGGGTAGGATTAAATACTGTTCAAAATATCACAGGATTGATTGTGCATATCTCACCTTCCTCACATGGGATCATTAAAATTTATGTGATCATGGAAAGACTTGAATAAGCACATTGTTTGGATTTTTGCTGAGAGACATTGTGTCATTTGCAAGAGAATGGACAGAACTGGAGATCATCATGTTAAGCAAAATAAGCAAGACTGAGACAGAAAAAAATTGCATGTCCTCTGTCATTTGTGGGATTGAAACATGCCCCCCCACACACGGAAATGAATGGCATGAGTATGAAACAAGGACTGTTTTGAGGTGAGAATCAGCAGGAGGATGAATGGGGGGCTGAATATGATCAAAGTACTTCTTACACATGTATAAAAATAGAATAATGAAACTCATTAAAATTTCTTGAAAAGGGAAGAAGAAGGGATCAGAAAGAGTATGAGAGAATGAATTTGACCAAAGTACATGAGCTGCATGGATGGAGACGTCATAATGAATCCATTTTGTACAATTAATATTCACTAATTAAAAAAGAACACAACATAAGATCTACTCTCAAATTTTTAAGTACACAACACAGTACTGCTTAATTACAGACCCAATATTGTATGGCAGATCTCTAGACATTATTCATCTTGAAAACTGAAACTTTATACCAGCCAAACAGCAACTTCCCAATAATCTGTCACCCCTACCCTTGGAAACCACCATTTTGCTCTCTGTCTTTGTGAGTTTGACATTTTAGATACCACATATAAGTGACATGTGAGGTCCATACTTCTCTGTGTCTGGCTTATTTAACTCAGTGTAGTGTTCTCCTCCAGGTTCATCCACATTGTTACACATGACAAGATCTCCTTTTATAAAGGTCAAATGATATTCCATCGTATCTATATGCCATATTTTCTTTATCCATTCATATTGAAATTTCAGTTGTTTCCATATCTTAGATATTGTACATAGTGCTGTAATGAACACAGGAATGCTAATATGTTTTGGAGATCCTAATTTCAATTTTTGGATATGTACCCAGAAATGAGACTACAGTCATTGTGTTTTTAATCTTTTGGAGAACTTCCATAGTGTTTTCCATATGTGCTGTACTATGCAACCCCTCCCACCAACTGCATACATGGGCTGCAGTTTCTCCACATTCTTGTTAACAGTTTTTGTCACAGCTCTCCTAACAGGTAAGAGGTAGTATCTCATTGTGGGTTTAATTTGCATTTCCCTGCTGATTACTGACACTGATTGTCTTTTCATAAACCTGCTAATCCTTCATCTGCTAGTTTATCATTTGTTGCAAAAGCCAGGGATTTTCAGAACGTGGGGTTGGTTGTAAGTCAGGCCTGGCTCATCTAGAAGACATGTGCAACCCTCTGAACCCTGGGCTTCCGTATGCACACAGACAGCAAAACTTTGCTGCACCTTGCTTTATAATGAACTAATACTTATCTTTGCCTTAAGAGTATAGGCTGTGCAAGCATAGCCATTACAGACCAGACCAACTCAGGTCATAGATGGAAAACACTTGCCAGGAAGTAGGAATGAAAACAAATGTGAGAGAGGATGTTGAACACTTAAAAAAAGATCTAGACAAACGCACATCTGCCTTGATGCTACTATTACAGTGTCAGATATTTGATTAACTCCTCCTGACTTTCTGATATACATTATTAACTATTAGGAAATGTTAAATTCCATAAGTTTTTGTAAGCCATTACATCACAAATTTTCTGATTAGATACCAAAATCATTTAAATTGTGTTCAAGTATATTTGTTTTGCTTTTGCCTACTGAACCATTGTCATAAAGATGATATTTTGTTCATGCTTCTCAAAAATGCTTTCTTTTTACCTGTGCTGAAGAGAAATATTACTCCATCAAGATGTATTACATGTGTCATGGTGCATGTAAGAAAATACAATGTAGGTTATTCTAGCCAAAACATCCTTGTGTCCTGAATAATTTTGGTATCCCCAGCTGTGATTGCTTCTATTTATTTAGGAAAATGAGAAAATAAAATATGGCACTCTGTACATATAGTAATACTGAATCTCCCATCGGCCTTGTAATTTGCCTTGCCATGGTTGTGAGTAATTTTGCATTCTGACTAGAATCAAATGCTGTCTTTGACAAGTGGCGTGTTTAATATCCAACCCAAAGACTGACTGCAGATATTCAGATCCCTCCCTTTAGTCAGTTTAGTGTCCCCTCATGTCTTGGTGGTTGTACTTGATTTGGTTGCTTACTGCTTGAGCTTCTGAGGCATCCTTCACAGCTACCTTCTTAATGGGACTGCTGACTGTTCCCTATGTCCAGGAGCAAACCATAAACCAATTAGCAAGGAAGCCTGTGACTTGAACTAGTGATCTTTGGCTTTAAGTTTGTCTCATCAGTTTTGCAGGTGAGAAATAACAAGGTGCTTCATGTTAATTAGTGCAGCAAGTGGTTCAAGATCTTGCTCAGAGACTAGAAACTTAGAAGCACATGCACTGTACTTCTCTGTCATCTTCATGCTTCTGTAGTAGTTCAAATATTTTCTGAAAGAACAAACAAGTGAAACAAAAGAGGGTAGGGAAGGATGTGCAAAACTGGACTCATCACCAAGAAGAGAACTTCATATTCCTACTGCCATGAATCGTCAGTACCCTTGTTTCCGTGTGCACCAAAGTGTTCTGTAAAGCATTCTGTAACTTCATTTGATCGGTCAGGTTTGGATTCCAGCGTGTGTGACTTTGTGTCTCTTCCCAGTGGATGGCATGTGGTCTTGCTGGTCATCCTGGTCAAAATGCTCAGCCACATGTGGTGGTGGGCACTACATGAGGACCCGCTCATGCACGAATCCTGCCCCAGCTTATGGAGGGGACATCTGCCTGGGGCTGCACACGGAAGAGGCACTCTGCAGCACACAGCCCTGCCCAGGTAAGCAGTGTCATGATTACCACGTGACTGCGACAAACTCACCTCCTTCCTTGATTTATAAATGAAGTTTATACCCCACTGGAGGGGAATACAAATCAACCCCACATAATTATTCTTAACGAGATTTCCTAACACATTGCTCTGTAACCAAATTGTTTTCATTTCCTGGTATCCAAAGCCTTTATCACATCTGAGGGAAGGTGCATGCATGTTACCATAACACCCAAGCTACCCAATTAGGAAATATAGCCCAATTTGCCTTAATCTTGCTAATTAACACTAATGACTCAGGCAGCACCTTGCTGTGTTGAGTTGGAGGAAAGAGATGGAAAGGAAAGAAGCATTTGTAGAGTTCCCACCTGAGTGTAGAGTTCTGAGTAGGGAGAACCTCCTGCAGCTCCTGTGTCACAGCCAGTCCAGGCCCAGCACAGTGACTGCTGATAACCCCAGCATTAAAAGAAGTTCTAAAATGTTTCAGGGGGACAGCAGGCACTCTGAGAGGACACCGCACCCAAGGTCAATGGGCTAGATTCAGGAGGGAGTGCAGTTAGAGAAAACATAAAACAAGAATGAAGCAAACTCCATAAGCAGAGGATCAAAGCAAAGCACACAACAAAGACTGGTTATAGCAAAACATTCCTAAAATGTGTTACCTGATAATAGGACCTGAGATTTAATTGTTGAAAGTCAGGGTGGGGAACAGGGAGAGTCCTGTAGGAGCTCCAGGACCCATGGCTGACCTAGGATGTGCACTGCAGCAGCAACACTCCCGTCCTGACATACAGGGACCACTGTAATGAAAACAAGCCACTCTTTTCTAGGTCTAACTTTGACATTGAGACACTTAATGGAAACTTTGGAAAGTTCCAAACTTTCACTCTACACTGCATAGAAAGAATGTCCTTTTTATTGGTTAATAGTCCATAAATAATATTTAGAGCTCATTTTTAACTTTCTTACAAATATTTGAGTTAAGTTATAACTCTTTTTACACATCTGTGTATCTGGGTGGAGTGAACAAATCCCACAAATCTTCCACTTCAGAATGAGTACCCTTTCGTTGCTGATCTTGTGATGAAGCCTTGACCCAATGCTTCAGAGTTGACCTTAAGCTCTTTAGTTGGATAAAATGAATTCTACCTCAAAACATATTATCTTCATAATAAAAGAGAAAGTGCTTTCAACTCCTATTCAGAACCAGAAACTTCTCTTTCCTGATCACAGAGTCCTGTGGGTAACGTTCAGGAACTTTTCAGAAAAGCATTTGAAGGCCACACTTTTCAGAGGAGCACTGCCCTACAGAAAATGGTGTCAGCATTGATGATTTCTGTCCCCTTCTGCTCATGGTTTATACACATCTGTGTGTCACACATTAGCTTATTAAGTGTCTAAATATAATTACAGATAGCATTAAAATAATGTAAGAATTAGAAAATTTACTTTAAGTACATTATATCTCATTAAAAACATACTAGTACTTTTATTTATCCTAATGCATATTTTAAAGACTCATATTTCTACACAGAATTATTTAAAATGTAGATGAAAACCTAAAACAATGTATACAACTTGACTGTGCTTATGTGTTGATTGATCCAAGCAGATAATCTTTCTCTATGTCCCTCTTCTGGTCACTGCAGAGAGCTGGTCAGAGTGGTCAGACTGGTCTATGTGTGACACATCCGGCATCCAGATCCGAGCCCGCCACTGCATTCTTCTGTTCCCTGTGGGCAGCCAGTGTTCTGGAAACACCACAGAGAGCCGGCCATGTGTTTTCGACTCTAATTTCATCCCAGGTAATGGCAGAGATGTTCACCAGTATGAACAAAATCATTCCAACATTAAAGAGAAAATGATTCATAGGCCAAGTTTTCTAACTGTTCTTTCAGGCTGTGTTTGGTGAAATAGAACTGAATCCATCAACTTTTGAGGCTTCACTGTGACTAAGTATAGTTTATAGATAACTGCAGATGTAGACATAAATTCAGTTCATGAGTTTAATATTTCTAAGTGCAATCAATGTGTTCTATCATTTATTGACTCTAATATGGCTAGAGGACTTCGCTCAAAAATGAAATTAGAGTGTTCAGTTATTTCGATATTTGGTTAAGTGATTTAGCAATACTGTGTGTGGTGTGTGGTGTGTGTGTGTGTGTGTGCACGCATGCCTGAATAGAAAAAATGGTCGTTCAATTTAGGTAATCTTCAGTGTATTTGAGAAAGTAGGTACCCGTCATTATTCTCACCATGGAGAAGAGGTTGGTTGACCCTCTTGCTACAGGCTTGTCAGTGTAAAATTATTGTTCAGTTATAGGGAGCTGGTCATCTGTTGAGCTCTCTCTGTAGGCACAGTGCTTTTCATGTGTATAAACCATTTAATATAGCCAACATGCACCTTAGGTCTGTGATGTGGACCGAACAAAGACCAAACTGTTGCAAGAAATGATAGGGCTTAATTCTATGCACCAAATTTTCCTCTGCTTATGGAAAAGATAGTAATATCTTAGAGAAAATTATTAACTTTACCCATATAAGATACCTCAACCATGTATAGCATAGAGCTATAAGACTGTTGTTTTTCTGTTTAATCATAGACATAATGTACATTTTTATTGTCTAATGAATAATCAATCCAGGAGATAATGGCATTTCTAGACTCCTGAAACAATATTTTTCTCAGGGGTTAAAACACTCTGAAGACCAGTCCTCTCATTGGCATCTTTTTTTTTTATTATTCTTTTATTCACATGTGTGTACATTGTTTGGGTCATTTCTCCTCCCTGCCCCCCTCCCCCACTCTCTTTCCCCTTCCCTGTTCAGTTCCAGGCAGGTCCTGTTCTGCCTTTATCACTAGTTTTGTTGCAGAGAAGAGACAAGCTTAATAAGGAAGACAAAGTGTTTTTGCTAGTTGAGTTGAGGATAGCTATCCAGAAATATTCCTAGTATTGCTTTCGTGTACAAGTGTTATGACCCATGTTGATTCATCTCTAACTGATCTTTACCCTGGTTACTGATCCCCTTCTCATGATAACTTCTGTTGCTTTAAGGTTTCTGTATTAGCTCCTCTGGAGTGGGCACATAAAATGCTTCCATGTATGGCATGATAAAGGGTATGAATGGGCTCCTGAGCAGTGACTTCATTTATTGCGATATCTTAAGAGCATGGCGACTTGGTCCCCCCTCTGCAGGGAAGGTGACAACACCAGCCTTAATGAAAAAACAATATTCACAGGAGAACATCATACGGTTTCCATAGGCAGTAGTATTCCTTGTATCAGAAGATCAGCACACGCTGTGAGTTCAGCCTAAGGGGCCATATGTAGAATTTCTTTCTGTAATAATGAATCCCACCCCTTCTAGTCAAGGTGACATAACCAAACCCATCTTGGTTTGATTATAACAAAAATTTATATTTTTTATAATTAATCGATATTTGAAACTTAGACTCCTGATAGATTCAAAATCACTAGACGCTTTATAATAAGAAGCATTGATAGAAACTTCCTTTCCAACACTCTGCACGGATTGTGATTGGACTTTTGTTTTTCCAGAAGTGTCCGTGGCAAGATCCAGCAGCATAGAAGAGAAGCGGTGTGGAGGTAAGTTCTTCCTTTTAACTAATTTCTTATTGAAATTCTGATCTATCGAAACTAATTTTCATCCCCACATATTTTCTGTGTCTCTGCTGTTGGACAAGAATGACACACTGAGGAAATTCAGAACCCAAACATCTAACACCTTGTTATAAACCCATATTTGAAATATGGACTAGTAGATTTCAAAGTGGGGTCCATAGACCAGCATCATTAGCATCCCTTGAGAACCTGATGGAAATCAGATTCTCAGGCTGTATCTCTCACTTTAGAACCAGAACCAGTCTGACTGTGGCCCAGCAGTCTATGGTTTAGTAAGCTCTGCAGCTGAGTCTCATGGAGGCTAAGCTTTTGAATCTGCCACCTTGATGTGAGCTAAAGGTAGATTTAAAATTAAAGCCTCCAGCCCACTAGAATTACTGCACTATAATGGGGCATAAGATTATATCTCTATCATCAGAGGAATTTTTTCAAACTCTTTACAACCTTGAATGGTTAAAAAAAAAAAAAGGCATATACTTTGGCTCAAGGCTATGATAAACTTGGATTTTGCAATGTGGGCCTTCTGTATACCAAAACAACACTTGTCTGACTTGTGACAATGCCTGGATGAAAGGATAGGCTATCTCATGACCAAAATACAACCCATGTCCACCTTTGGTAATCTGAGCCAATATCTATACCAAGACCTTCATCTTCACATATGTGGCTGATGATATGCAGATACTCACATAATCTATTCCACCAGGGTCATCCAGAGAGCTCAGTCTGACAAATTTTTACCTCTGCTTATGTTAATCATTGACTCTCGGGCTTTGTGGACATATTATTGTTAGGATACAGGGAGATTCAGAGTGACAATTCTAATTCGACTTATATTGTACATTATTTACATTGCTCCCATCTCTCTCCCCCCAACCCCCTCCCTGCCCCACTTAAAGCAATTGCAAGAGGTTTCTTAGTGCTGCTTCATATAGATATATGAAATCCATCTACCATTCACCATCACCTTAATTGCCTTCCTTCACCCTCCCCCTCCCACTAACCACCCCCACACACACTGTACCTATTTTACAGTCCTGGTTTTTATTACTAATATTTAAGTCAATGTTCAAAGGCGTATCTCAATGGATGCCAACTGCTTTACTTTGGTCATTTCAACCCCTTCCATTACTCTCCCTTATCTCTTTACCTCCCACCTCCCATTTTTCAATGGCTTTCAGTACACATCCTTACATCCTCTATCTTCACATCTTATGTTATTGTGTAAAAGCTTAGACACAGACAAGGGCTTTGGCACGCAGCATTTTCAGATTCCAGAAGGGTGATTTGGGGATCATGCTATGTATTATAACACACAGATAGTCTGGAGCTGTACTAAAACAAGCCTTTCTAATGCTGCTGCCACAAGAGTTGGGTAAATAGATGCAAGGGCAGTAAAATCAGTCAGGTCAGGACACACCTTGCTTCAAGATGAGTGATGAAAAAACAGTTCTTGAGGATTTTGCATTTGAAATTGTAGAAACAGAATAGTAAGCTTGTGTTTTAAATGCATTTCATAGGTAGTCACTGTGAGGCTCATAAGAAGGGAGGGAGGTCAGTGGTCCACACAGGTCATATGTATGGACAACAGGAATGAGTAGTCAGTCTCTGGGAGGACTGTGTCTAGGGGCCTCCAGCCACAGAATGCCTGGCTGTGTAAAACTCTGAGTCAACACCAGGGTCCAGGGCTATCTGCCTAATCCCTTCAGGGGACTGCAGGTCAGGAGTGAAGCTGTTCATAAAGTGTGTTCCCTACTTTTTGGAAGCCAAGACAAACTTGAGGGTCATACAGCTGGTGCCTAAGTCAAGTCAACTGGCTTCCATGCTTGCTATTAGAAGCAGTGATCCTCTTCCCCTGGCCAGACCTCCCTGGATTGCTATGAGCAAGTCCTTCAAGGAACTTGAGCACTCAGGAGACACCATGCAAAGCCCATCCCCATCCTAGGATGCTGCTTCTGGTGTCAGAACCAGTTGTGCCAAGTGGCTGCACAAGCCAGAGTTAACCCTGGGCATGCTATTGGCTAAATCATAGAAGCTTTAATTGCTCTGCAATATTCTGAACTGATTGTTTTAGATTTCTAAGCTGCCGATGTTGACATTCCAGCAGAAGCAGATAAGAGATGAGATGGGGCTGAGTGTACAGCTAATAGGTAAAAACAAACAGCTACCTAGCAAGGATATTGGAAATGTTTAAGGAGACAGCATAGATTTGTTTTCTAGGCTTGTTGAAAAATCAATCAAAATTTGCAGAGAAAAGCATCCAGTAGAACCAATTCTATTTCTGCTTTATTGATCAAAAAATGGCAGCAAAGAACAAAAAGCATATTCAAAGAAAAAAGTCACAATAAAGCAGATTCAAAAGAGATTTAATAAGCACTATTTTTCCTTCTGCAGAAAATGTGCTCCTATTGAGATTTTTCAACTTAGCTATTTTTAGTTGCATGAGACACAAAGACTATGTACTTGTCATAAAGATGTCAACTTGCCTCAACTTGTCAACTGGCCTCAGCCTCCCCAGGTACCTGCAGGAATGATTCATTTAACTAATGACAGAACGTCAACATATGGAGACCATAATACATCTTCCATATGTTATAGTGAAATATCATTGCAGCAGAAAGTATTTTTTATCAGTGTGTGGCATGGACCCTGGAGAGTCCTAACAGCTAAAGTATAAAGAAAGGAGAATTTGTGTGAAATCAGTGCTTGCTTATCATAAGTACAGTTTCAGTATTACAGTAAAAATAAAAAGTGCTAGTGGTTGTTGGTAGAACTGCTCCAGGATGCTTTATCCAATTATCAAAGGCTAGGAGCCCTTCAGCTCCAGTGGTTCCATGACAAAAGCAGGAATGGCCCGTGATTTGTAAAGTCCTTCCATGGTCTTATGCCATTGACTAAATGAAATAAAAGTGAAGAATTGATTGGTTGTCAGGGAGTGGAGGATCTTGTGGGATGTTCTAGTGATGCCCCCTAGGTTATCTGGTCACTAGCACTGAGTTCTTTGGACCTATGTGTTAGAATGTAAGCTATCTGTTTGGAATTCTAATGCATATAAGAGTCTGTTGTTGGTCATGGCTGGCAGTAAATTCAAGAGAAGGTGACCACGGTTCACTTCATCACCTCAGAAGGCAGGTTCATTTCTCAGGACCTTCAGTTACTGGAACATGGTGTCCAGGAACAGAAAGGAAAACAGAGAAAAGTCCTAACACATATCACAGTTGAGGCCCTGACAGCATCTTCTGCTCTCTGAGACTTAGCTTTCCTTAGAATCCAAGGTTCATGGGGAACAGGAAGGATTCAGATATTCAGATATAGCCCAGGGTTTTAACATTTATTGAGTCTTTGGTGAATAGTAGCTGAGTGATCTTTTGACACCAACTGTCAGAGCTGGGCTGGTGTTTGTAGCACCGTTCTTTCCGAGAAGTGAGTGTCAGGAGTGGGCACGAGAATCATGGAGCACAGGGAATAAAACTCTGTTAACCCCTGAGGAGGAAACTGCGATGGTTAAGGTGCAAACACTCCAGGCCCTGGGTGTGGGAGACAGACCTATATTGCCTCTTCTCACCCTGAGAGTCCTGCAGGCTTTGCTCCATGACCAGGGAGGCTCATCCTGCATCTGCAATGAGGCCTAGCAGTCATCTCCATAGGTCCACTTGGTCCAGGGTTGATAGATCACATATGGTCATCCAGTGACATGGCACCCCTAGTGATTCCCAGTAGGGGGACCTGGGGGAAATCTGGGTGTTTTTGGTTGTTCTCTGAGCAGTGAGGACCTGAGACCAGTAACACAGAAGTAGACTGTACCCAGTGCCATTGCAGTGTAGAAGTGAGGTCGTGTTCTGCTTTACATGGCTTTCACTAAGCTCAGCTCTGAGCCCAATTACTGCCTTTGTTCCCAGAAAGTCTCAATACTGTAATAGTAGTGTTTTCCCAGTGCACGAGGAATCCCTGCACCTTTTTCACTATAGTTTCTCAAGCATTACATAGGTCTTGGGTTGTTGTCTTGATGTAATTGAAGCCACTCCTATTTTGGAGATGTAAGTCCAAGGTAACTCACATTTTGGATATTTTATATTCAAAGAAAGTAACTTAAATGAAGAGAATATAAGCCCATTAGGTAGAAAAACAATAGGTCAAAAGAGAATCATTTCATGGCCACTTAAAGATCATATTTTATTCCTTTAGCAGGAATCCTTTATCTTTGGAGTAAATCATTTTCTTGATAAGATCATCAAAATGCAAATGAAATAAAGTGGTTCACAGGATAATATTTACAAATACATACACCACACACAAATACACACACACAGAGAGGGAGAGAGAGAGAAAAGAGAGATCCTGTAAGTCTTCAGATTATCTCTAGAAAGATACAGTAGAAACTAATTTCAAGAGTTACCTTGGTAAAGAAAGGAGACTTATTTTTTCCTTTAGAACCTTTGGAAGTTTCTAGTATTATACAATATTCATATTAACAAATATAATAGATAGCATCAGAATCCATGTAAGTGGGAAACATTTAAAAATAAAATGAAGTAATGAAGGAGCGAGGAGTGAGTTAATAAGGGAGAGCCTGCTGGCTTGCAAGTGTGTAGGAATTGACAAGGGTAAGGTCATTCATTCTGTGACCTTGGACCATGGCCATACTATGCAGCCCAGTCCCCTAAGGGACATGAATGCACTGTTCTGTAGAAACCCCATAGACCCACCAGAGGTTATCATGCTCTTGAAACAGAAGAACAGTGTTATGTTGGTCTTCAGATTTAAAAAAAAAAAGTGCTTCTGTTAATAATGTTCAAGATGTGTCAGAAAACAATAATCTGTAAAATTTATAATGTTCCATGCTCACTGTGGCAAGGTTTCTTTGTGTCCATGACATTTCCATGGAAAGACTTGCTATGATTTCTTTAGTTTAGGAAGAGGTATGGGGCTGTCACTTTGTCATTCTCTTTTCATCTAAGTGCTTTGCACCATTGGGTAGCGTGTTCTTTCCCAGTGTGGCCTCACTCTGTTCCTGTCCTCCAGAGTTCAACATGTTCCACCTGATTGCCGTGGGGCTCAGCAGCTCCATCCTAGGCTGCCTCCTCACCCTGCTGGTCTACACCTACTGCCAGCGGTACCAGCAGCAGTCCCACGATGCAACAGTCATCCACCCTGTCTCCCCTGCCCCTCTCAACACCAGCATAACAAACCACATCAACAAGTTGGACAAGTATGATTCGGTAGAGGCCATCAAGGTAAGGAATCAACAGTGACAGCCGCAGACAGATGGGCAAAGAAGGCGGTTGGACCCTGGGGCTGCTGGCAAGGCTCGTTGGTGGTGGTTGTAGTGATGGAGTTGGGAACAGGCGAAGGGGACTCCCTCTCTGATGAGCTGCCTTTTTAGCTTTGCTTTGCCTGTGAATATATAATATCTCCTATTGGGAAAGAAAGGGAAATGTAAACAGCAACAAATGAGATGCTGAAATCTACTAGGTCTTTTGCCAGTCTCCAACTCTGCCACTCTGCCTGTTTTGTGTTTTCTGAATCTAGAGAAGTCTGTCAATAAAGAGGAGCTCCCAGCCAAGGCTCTATACACAGTCGATCAGTAATAATGAGGCCACAATATAGAAATCAGATATCCAGGTCTTCTTCAGGAATAGACCTGAACTTTGAAACTTGTATCGTTAAAATGGGCATAACTATACATATTCACATATTGTTGCTGTGAGATTTCAATGACCTAACAAACGTGATACCTAGCACCCAGCAAATAGTAGCTGCTGGTCTTACTCTATCTCTACAACAGGTCAGTGGTGCATCTGGACAGACATCAAGGACTCTTATCTACAGCACCACCCTGTCTTATTACCCACTAGATGAATTCTCCTGAGTGATGTCTAACTAAATTTTGATATTCCTATTAATTTGGCAGTTTTCCATAACATTTTGATGGCCTCTCTCTGCCATCATATTTTCCTGTGAATCCACATTTTCTTCCTCTGTGAGAATGCAAAGTGTCTTCAGCTTTTACAGCTTCAGGTAGTCAGGAGAGTTTATGTCCCAGGAGCATCAGTGTCCTCACTTGTCTCCTCCCTGCCATGCAACCTCCATTCTCTACCACTTGGACAGAGACCAAGTCAGTGGAATTTTTCCTGTGGACTCTACTTCACCAAGGATTCAGAGTCCATCAGCATCATCCACCAGTCATAGACCTAAAGGGTATAGCATCAGGAATTAATGCTAGGGCCTCATAGTCTCTGAGCAAAGAACTAGAGTGTGGGGGGGAGCATAAGCTCCTTCCATGACTAAGGTCCTTCCAAACAAAACTCCAGAACTCAAGAACAGGTTAGGGCTTCTAGAAGCATGATTCCAGATCACTGGCTTCTCTGTGCTCTTATTTTAGGTGGCAGAAGGCAATGTAGCTGGTCTATGTTCCCACTTAAGATTCAGTAGCCACTTTTAAGACAATCAGAAATGTTGCTTCAATGGAGGCATTGATGGCTGCCCAGTTTTAATGAGTCCTTCCAGAGCTTTCTATTATTGCTCTTATCCATGTATTTAGTCATTCACCTTTCCTCATTCAACAAATATTTATCAGTCAGAGCTTCCTAACAGGAATATAATGTGAACCATATATATGTAATTTCCAATTTCCTAGGAAGTTCTAATGTGAAATTCACCAATAATGAGTAAAACAAAAAGAAATAGGTAATATTAAGGATATTTAATCATTAGATTAATAATTATAATTAATAATTAATATATTTCAAAATATTTCAACATGTAATCGGTATAAAAATATTGAGGAATTTATTTTAATATATGCAGTCTTTAAAATCAAGTATATATTTTGTACCATCAGTGCATCTCAGTTTAAATTTGCCACATGTTTAGTACTCAATTACTCCTTAGTGCTGGTGCCTCCCACATTAGTAGGTTCCAGATATGATATTAGGTATCAGGGATATGATGTCTACATAATAGGCATAGGCCCTGTTCTAACTGAGCATGCAATCTACTCACAAGTAGCTGTGAGTCAGGTACAGAAAGAATGCTCTGGTGAGAGAATCAACATGTGCTGAAGTCCACAGGTGAAAAACCAAGGTGAACTTTGGAATGGAATAAACTATCATATATAAAAAGGTAGGGTAAGCAAACTGAAAGAAGAGACCCTGGGAGTAAAGGGGACATCAGATAATAATAGCTCTTTAAGAATTTAGATTTGATCTTGAAATCAATTAGGAGTATTGGAGGGTTTTAAGGAAATAAATAACTTAATCATATTTGCAGTTATGACACATGCTCCTGCCTGTGTTTTGTAAGAATTGTTTAGGTTAAGGTCAAAGGCGTGGATATCGTTTGGTAGACAGCTGTGGTAAAATTGGTAAGTTTGGTCAGGTCTAGTTGAAGAGAAGTGAAGAATATAAGAAGTCTTAGGTGCACAGGATTTGAGGATCTATCACATGCACTACTCATCCGAGGGAAAGGAGTCATCCATGACTCCTACCTAACATGATTGAACTCTGTGAAGTTGCAGGTGACTTTAATGACAGTTAATGAGGTAGGCCATCTGTGTCACAGATGGCCACAGCAGTCTCCTTCTAATGAGTGCAGAGTAAAAAGAAATTTAGACAATTGAATGAGATACATTAATTAAGTAAGGTCTGTAAAGATCTCTGATAAATGCACCTATGCATGAAAATCTGAAAATTATGTCAGTTTATGCTTAGAGCTGTATGATAACATTCATAGTGTCTGTTAACTTGAAAGCATTTGAGTTTTAAGTTTTAAGAGATTTAGATTTAGGTGTTCTGCTTCTCTCAGTTACTTCCTTAATAAAGTCCAAGAATAAATCAGATATTAAGGACAGCCACCCTCACTCTAGTTATTAGGCAAATAATCTGGGGATCCAGTAAGTGAGAAAATACTTTTAAAAGTAATAGAGCCTAAAGAGAGCTCAAATTCAACAACAGTCTCCTAATTATAATCTTTTGAAAGACTACTAAGTATTCTTAAATCCTTTTAAATATATTTTACAGGCATTTAACAAAAACAACTTGATCCTAGAGGAAAGAAACAAATACTTCAACCCTCATCTCACTGGGAAGACCTATTCCAACGCCTACCTTACAGATCTCAATAATTACGATGAGTATTAATAGCTCCTATATTTTTGGCTTCTTATAACCCTTCGTTCCTCAAAGCCTGAGCTCCATGACTGCCCATGTTTCTGAGGCTTCAGATATGAAGTGCATTTCAAGCCAAGACTGTCCCATTGCTACCAAAAATACACATCTTACAAACAACAAAAAATTGAAATATGACATTATGAAAATATGATCTACAACAAATACTCACTCATTGTTGAATGAGTCATGTGTGAAGATTTTTACTGTGTCCATCCCATTTCTCCAACAGATTTATTGTTTCATGAGCTTGATTTTATAAATGTGCCACCCACATTGGAAGGAATCTTTAGAGAAATACAAATGTCTTGCTTGTGAGTCAAAATCTTCATGATGCTTTAATTTGAGAAAACAGGCACTTTATCTGAAGCCCCTATCTCTCCACAAGGTCCATAGCATTCCATATAATGAGTAAAATGAATATGGCCAAACAAGTACTCACCGTAGATCTCCTGACTTCCCTCAATCTGGATAACACTGTGGAATCTCAAAAATAACTTGGTTGTACGTGGAATGATTCTTGCCCAGGGAAGCCCAAGGGTTCCACCTGATCTGCACCCACCAAGATAATGGCCTACTGAGACCCTCCGCCACCATTTGAAGACAGTGACTACATCATCACTGTGGAGTGAGCATATGGAGCAGAGGACAGACACAGGGAGGCGTGACAGTCTCCTGCAGCTTGCCGCGAATCTAGCCTTATTCTGACTTTTGGATTTCATGGCATTCCAGGAGGATCCTTGCCCCATTGCTAGCCTGGAAGCCAACCTGTCTGGTCCATACTAACGTGCTGAGGAGACAGACTGTAGAATGACCACTGGGTTAGTATTTGAATGCACTCTGTGCCTCTTCATTCCATGCACAGAAAAAACTTGAACGTTTATAGTGCCAATTAGAGAAAGAATTGAAAGGACTGAACTATAATTGAAAACAATTGTTTTATTTTCTGTTATGCCAAGTGTCGAAAGAACTTGACATTTAATGAATAGCATCTTTTTGTTCTTCCAGTCCCTGATGTAACTAATGTAAGCCAGTTGGCCTCACCAAGAGCATAAATGATGTGGAAAGCTCCCATCCCAATCTACACTGAAGTTGCCCCCAGCATCTCCCTCTCATTTGCTGCCCCAGGCCACAGGAGTTGGAGATGTTCCACTCTGGTGCCTTCTCTTTATCTCAGTGCTTCCTCCCATCCACCCAGCCACTGCCAGTTCCACTTCTCCCTGCTTGGAGGCAATGGTGGTTCAAGGTTCTCTTTGAGTAATCAGGGCCTGGTAGTAAGGGTTCAAATGATCCTTGTAGTCTCAGCCGTTACCATTGATTAGCATTTCAGAGTGTTAAAAAGATAAAGGTGGAAAAAAGATAAAATACCTGCAAAAGACTGCATATTGCAGTTAGTTAAATAAGTATTAAAAGTCAGGATAAAATTAAAAACGTTCCTCTGCTACCTCTGGACATTATTGTAAAAGCCTGGATAGGTGTTAATACATGTCTTCACTGAAGAATGACACTTGAGATCTTTGAAAATGTATGATATGAGCAGTGTGGAACACAGAGTTTTATTCGCATATATGGTTTTTACCTTAACCAGTTTAAAGAAGCAGTCTCAGACAGTATTGAAAAAAATCCTATGACTAACAATGTACGTTCTTGATTGAATATTCAAAATATCCTCAAATAACCAAATTTTTAGAAATGACTCAGTATTAAATATAAACAGCAGGTAGGCTGTGGGAGATCCGTGGGATTGCCAATGAATGACCAACAGGATTTTCCCAGTGAGATTTCTTGTGGTATTTTCATGCATTCCTTGCATGCAGTGTAAGAGTCTTCTGCCGTCTTACATACACAAAATTCACACTCAGTAGATGAAATTTAGCAGATGGCTTCCTAATTGTTTCTAGGGTGGATTTTCATTGGACACTTCAACTCATCTCATCTCTTGGCTTTAAGAGGAAAACATCCTCACTATGTAGTACATTTTAGTTTTTGTTTTTTAAGCTCCCTCTCCTGAATATTTCCTTAACTTAAAAGGTCATTTTGCTTCTCCTGGGAAGAAGGAGACTCAAATTTCAAGAACCTGTCACTGGACTAGATGAGAAATGCTTTCTAAATGGCATCAAAGCTCGTTTTTAATGAATCTTATTTAATGAGTGGGGAAAAACATCCTCCCTCCCATGTCATGAATAATATAAGCCTCTGAGATTCATTTTGTAAAAAAAAAAACCCTTCATTTTTTGTTCCTTGACACTCTATTCAAGGGAAATTGTTTCTCTCACCCTCTACCGACCTTCTTTCTTATTAACAGAATAGCAATTGAAATGGAAAAATTTGAACTACGGTCTTAGTATTTTGACCATCTGTAGAACAACTTGTTTTCTCATCACTGTTCTGCTGTTGCTGGTGAGTGTAGGCTTTACACTCCAGACCTCACCTTAGCAGGTGAACCCTCAGTGGTGGCTCATGCAGCATCTGCCATCTGTGCTGAATCCTCCCTCATGGAACAGTTCTTTTTTAGCCAGGAAGTTTGGAATTCCTACTAAAACCTTATGGATCACATTTAAAATTCCTGACATTTTCATATTCTCTTTGTTTTTTCCTTCTTCCCTCCCTCCCTCTCCAGCCCTGTCTCTCTCCTTCCTTTCTTCCTTCCTTTTTTTCCCTTTTTTTCTTGGCACAACAATGTAAATAGAGACTAATACTTTTGTGCTGGACCTGTGTGAACCTGCTGTCAAATGGCATTAATCATAGTTTAACTTCTGAGATATTTCTGGACATACTTAGTTTGGCTGGTTTTCATTAAGAAACTGGTTTTAGTCACATATTTAAATTCTTTGAAGGCAGGTTGCTTAGGGTCCTTTCTCTAGACCAGACTAATTGCTATTGATCCTGCAATGCACTGATATTCTACAAAATCAAAAAGAGAATTCCAGCCCACTGTCCAGCAGGAGATTTTCCCAAATTTCTCTGGGCACTTTGATAAAATTAAGGGCTTTGTCTTCCCTGAAGGACACAGACTTACAGACTTGGTGAGTTCTAGCAAACTCTGGAGATATTAGATCAAACTCTGCTATGTAGCAGAGCCACAGTCACCTGACTCCTGGGCTTTTCCTTCAAAACTTCCCATTTTACTCTAAGCAAATTTCTCTCTCTCTGCTCCTTAAAATTTACCTAAGGTGTCTAAACTTCTCTGCTCCTGTAGGATGTTTCACTAAGCCTGTGCAAGTAGAGTCTCACTGGAATTAGTGTTAACATTAGAGGAAAGAACCAGGGTTTCTTCTGTGCATGGAGGGGTGGGCAAAGATTCTAAAGGAATTGAAGAAGAATCACAAACACCAAATGGGCATTAGGGCATCCCTGCCATGGAGACAGCTTTGTCCCTAGGAAGGGTCAGTCTACATGATTTGAAGTGGATGAGAGGCAGAACCCAATTGGGTCACAGGTGATAGAAAAGAAACAAATGGAGGACAACATCAGGTCATAGCTGACAGGGAAAAGTGATGGATTGGTCACTCCTTAGTGAGTGTTATGGACCATCCCTGCTCCACAAGTACAGTTCTGTCGGTTTGATCCTTGGACTCTTCCAGGATCAACTGCCCAGAATGTCATTGTTTATCCACAAAAAAGATGAAAATCATGGGTGTCACAACCGGTTTCAGTGAATGTTTCAAGTCAAGTCCTTGATAGAATTAGTTAGCATTGCCTTCAAAATTATAGATAAAGTATCAGCAAAGAGGACTCCACATCCCCAAGATACAAGCTGAACATTAGAGTGTAATTGGATATCATAAGAAATTCCATTCTGAAATTATATCATGTCTGAACTCAGCTGTATTTTGTCTAAACACAACCTTAGTGGCACTTGAATTTTAAATATCCTTATGTTTATTTACTATGTGTTCTTGCTTTTAGAATAAGCTGCAAGTATTTCCTCAGTGCTATCAAGACACTTTCCTCATCAGTTTTGCCCCAAGGCCATCAAACCTGTTTAGCTTTGAGGTGTCCTTACATTTTAGAACACTTTCTCATTTCCAGTGGGGTTTGGGATAAATGTCTTATGTTCAGTACTTCTGTCTCAAAGAGCATCTGGGGTACTTAGTGAGAGACAACAGCTACCAGTGAATTGCATCAGCATTAGAGCACCTATTTTTCATGTGACGTAAGCCCACTGTTCAAATAATGTAATCAATTTCCATGGAGGTATCAAATTAAAATAATAACCAAAATCAGCTCATAAGCAAACTCTCTACCATTCTCTTCAGTGTGGTGTAAACCGGAATGCACACACTGGCTATGCCCCCACATCCACTCACCCTAACGCCTGCGGTACTTGGAAATTAATGTTGACGCACTTGCCAATATTTGATTACCTTTTCTTATCCATTTTTACCTGACATTATGGGTATTCAGCATACCCTGCTTCTAAATGTGAAAACTTAAATTCTCATTTTGACCTAAGAAGTACACTAAAGGGATCACCAGGCACACTATATTGCCATGTAAGATAAAATACTTCAGAGTCCAGGAGCCATTTCAAATTTATTTGTGTTGCTCTCTGCTGTTGTGGTTGTTAATTAGAGTTGATTTAAAGATGTTTCACTACTTTCTAAATACTGAGCCAAGGCTTTTATTTTGCCTATTTTGATAACGTAATAAAACCAAGGAAATGTTGGTTTTATCCTTTCTCCATTTCTTTTATGGAAATTGAAGTAATTCACAAGATGTAATGTTGGACTATTGATAAGAATTTTGAAAACTGATCAAAGATTTTTTTATTCACTTGTTACATGCTACATTACCAGGAATTTAATACATATTACAAAAGCATCAGGAATGAAGACCTGGTCTCTTTTAAAATATAGTTCACACTACAAAGTACGTAGAGGCTCATCAAAAGCAAATTCAGAGTCTGGAACAAATGTGTGCAGTTCCTAGTGGAAGCCCTCACTCCGAGCAAGCTCTTTTTGAAAGATCGT